GATATCTAACCTAGACATCGACTGCAGTGCCATCTGCCGGGCTGATTTGTAAATCTAAACCATCCAGGGCGCCACTCAAATGCGTACAGAAAAATTCATTTAAATTGGTCAAGCCGTTTAGGAGGCGTTCAATGATATACCTACACTCGTACAGCAGAATTATATATATAAAAGATAGGTACCTATATAGGTATATATCTTTTGTAATGTAGTATCGAATTATATAGGAATTGCAAACTGAACTCATACTATAGGTAACTCAATCAGTCGGTGACTAACCTCACTGGCATAAGCTAGGTTGACTCATACACCTCCTAATTACTTTTTCAGATTCTTCCTAGTCCGACTAACAATAACAATCAAGACAATCTTAAATGTTATGTCTGCAATACCAAAAAATCCTTTTTTCTTTAAACCAAAAATTATAATGAATGGAGATTTTTGTCTGTGCAGTCCAATTAAATGTTCAAGTTGCTTAATTCACATCTATATTTAGTAAAGTGATGCAATCCTTAACTCTTTGATCTCGTATTGTTCACTTCAAGGGTAAACTACGATAGGTGTGGGTAAGTCGTTCAAAATGGTTCTATATGAAAATTTTAAAGTAACTAGGCATCATTATATGGCTAGATATTTAACTAGAGGTTTGATTCCTTGTTCGGGTAAATGATTATTGATATATAGATTAATATAAAACTTGAAGTCAATAATAGACACTTTAATTGAAAAAAGAATTATTCGCTAGTCTGTCTGCCAACGCAGTTCTTTATTATTGTAATCTATATTAATATTATAAAGCTGAAGAGTTTGTTTTTTGTTTGTTTGTTAGTACGTGCTAATCTCCGAAACTACTGGTCCGATTTGAATTTTTTTTTTCGTGTTGGATAGTCCATTTATCGTGGAAGGCTATAGGCTATAAAATATTACGCTACGATTAATAGGCGCCGAGCAGAGTTAGTGAAACCGCGCGGAAGTAGCTAGTGCGACTAATAAAACTGTAAGAAAAATATGTTTGTTATAACTGTATGAACAATGTACAGAATTCTGTCTAACCCATTATTTAACAAACGGTGCGATGTTATAATGTACGTTCATCGGACAGATTTGAAGTACTCAAATGTAGAGTAATGTAAACGTACAAAGACATTAAATCTACATAAACCCATGGAGTGCGTAATACGGTAATAGGGAGATACCAAAACATACACTTAGATACGGTACAGTGGATTCTAAACAATACAATTTATTTACCATGAATTTTACATCGAAATATTAGTAATTTAACTACAGTGAGACCTACTGATTTCATTGCAATATGCAGCTCAAGTATGTAAGGTGTTCGAGAAGAACTCGACTAATTTCAGGCTATATCAGGATTCATAAATAAAAAATTATCTCTTCATTCATCATGTACTGCATGCTCCATAGAATTGTTTTCATTAGTAAGCCAAGTCAATCAAATATAATAATTATGTATCAAAATATTGGTAGTTACAATATGATATAATGATTTCTAGCCTGTTTTGTTTGTTGAAAATCATCCCCTAAATTTGTTCATACAAAAGTAGTATCTAAACATTGGAAATAAGGTCTATAATGTAGTTAGTGGAGAGCGGTCACCGGTGACCGCTTGGGGATATAACTGATTAGAAAACCATTAGGAAATATATGAAATGAAGTATTATTATT